GTAAATAGGGAAGAATTATTTTGGGCTCAGTTGTGATTCTTGTTTTTCTTTCCTAGTTTACTTGTAAGTTTCAAGGAGGGGCTGCAGCTCGCGCCCCTCATTGGGATGATGTATGAACTCACTCTAATTTGCTTCTGAATCAATAAACTTATTATTATTCATCAAAAAAAAAGATTCCTACTAGGGAAGATAAGAAGATAGAGAAGATGATGAGGGACTTCTTATGGGAGATGGAGCAAGAGAAGAAGGATCATTTAATTAGGAGGGAGATAGTTAGTCGAAGTAAGGAGGAAGGAGGATTAGGATTAGGGAATCTTGCTCATAAGAATGTAGCTCTTCTAGGTAAGTGGTTGTGGAGATGGCCTTTAGAGAGGGAGAGGTTATGGCATGCAGTGGTGGCGAGTATCCATGGCTGTTCCGGAAATAGTTGGGATGTAGGGGTATCCAGACACAAATTTAAAAATTCAGGGAACATAACTTTTAAAGACTCAAAGGACAAATGACCAAGGCGATTATGCCACAACTACACTTGACTTTTTGTAGACTGACTCATAAGACTCACGGGAATTGATGCTGTAGGACCAGTTTTATTTTCCAAAATGTAGAGGTCATCAACCATATCTCCTTTACCAATCGTTTTCCCCAAGGCTAAATCCTGGAAAACACAAGAACGAGGAAATAAGTTATACAACAGTATAAGGATTGAGTAATACTACTTATGGACAACAAATTAATAGGAAGTTTGGGAACATGAAGGGCATGGGTAAAGCAAGGCCATTAGGAAGGGATATAGATCCTTGACCAGCAATAGTGGATAGAAGAAACCTATCAGCAAGTCTCACTTTATCCCTCCCAAAGAGAAGAGTGTAGGTCTGAAATAAAGTTGACTTACCAGTCATATGGTTTGATGCCCCTGAGTCAATGATCCGAGGTGACTCAGGAGCAGAGGTACACACATGAAATGCAGAAGCACCTTTACCAGATGTAGAAGCAAATGAAGTAGAAGGGGTAGGAGCTGATCTATCCATCTGTCCAAGAGTCCTACCATACAATTCCAAATGATCTTTGAAGGAGTTAATGATGTCTTCCTTGGGACCAGAACCACTAGGATGCTCTTGGGAAATTCCAGTAGTCAGATTATTTGATTGGTAATCTTGTGCAGCCAGATTTGCATAAGTAAATTTCTTCTGAGAAGGCTTCTTTTAAGTGTCTTGATTCTTGGTTGCCCACTTGGGCTTCCGCACTAACTCCCAAGTGTGTCTAGACTTTTGGCAGTGAGTGCACCACCGCTTGTTCTTGTCATCATTTTTCCTTGATTCTCCCTTTTTCATTCCAATTGCCCCCTCTTGCAGCCAGGGCAATAGGATGCTCCCCCTCGGAAACATTCATTAGATTTTTTCTGCTCTCTTTGGATTGAACTAAGGCATATACCTCCTGAATTGAAGGAAGTTCCCTACTTCCTAAAATCTGTACCCGAAGAGGTTCATAATCAGGATTCAGCCCTAACAAGAAAGCAAACACTCGTTGTTGGGAGACAAGTTTTTTTGTATGCTTTTGCATCCTCATCATTCTTCCACTCAATAGTCTGATAATAGTCCAACTCCTTCCATACAAAGGTAAAGGCTGAATAGTATGTAGATAGGCTATAGTCTCCTTGCTTACAAGTAGATGATTTTGCTTGGAGCTGGTAAATCTTGGCAAAGTGCTTCTGTTCAAAGTAGGTTGCCTTGGCTTGTTCCCAAATCTCATAAGTTGTATCAACCCATATGAAGTTTTTCTTTACATGAGGCAGCATGGAACCTAACAGCCATGACATAACCATGCTGTTCTCTTGATCCCATCTATCATGTTCAGTTGTACCAGATTTGGTTCTTTAATCTTTCCACTTTTGTAACCAGCTTTCCCCCTAGCTGTGATACAAAGTTTGATGCCTTTGGACCATTCCAGATAATTTAAGCCATCAAAGGGGGTAATAGACATGGAGAAATTCATGCTGTCCATTCCCCCATTAAGGTTTCCTTGATGGGAAGTAATACCAGAGGTTGCTGAATCCTCAATGGCCATTTTCCCAATGTTTTACTGCTGATTTTCTAAGAAAAAAAAGGACTGAGACAGAAGTTCTGTACTTCTACAGCACTGTTATCGGTACAAAAGGAAGGCACCAACCACCCGACCATAGAGTAGCACACTAACCAAGGAGAACAGCAATACCTCCACCACCTGTAGCTTAAGAAGGCTCTGAAACAGGTTCAGCCAGACTGTAGGTCAGTAAACCCAGCTTATATGAAAAGGAGACAACCAGCTCCTACAACCCCAAACTATGACATTCACAGTAGTCATACACTTAAATATGAATGTAACAGTACATACCTGGAGTACAGTAGTAATTCCACAACCTACAGTCCATAAAAAACTAGGAGTAAAAGTAAACCCTAGAAATACTGCTTACTGCATTCGGCTGCCACTACAAACCTTTTCTTGGTGCAACGACCAAGAGAGAAGAAAAAAAAAAACGAAGACTAAGGGCTAGGTCAGTCTGATGGAGTCTTCTCTTACTCTTCCAATCAAAGAACAAAGTTTCAGATGGAAAACACAATCTGAGAAGGTTATGCCCAGATCAGTGCTCTGATACCATGTAGTCCAGCAAAGGTAAAAGGAATAGAAGGAAAGAGAGAAGAAGAAGAAGAAGAAGAAGAAGAGGAAGAGAAGAAGTTCTATTCAGAAGTAGAAAGTTGGCGGCACCTAAGTTTGTATTTATACTTGGGGCGACAGCTTATAACAAAATAGAGGAAATACCAGAAATACCGCTACGCTAGTACATAGCATGTTACAACAGTATTTAGTGGCTTTGAATGATAATTGAGGGTTGGGCAAGCTCTATGGAGCTGGTGGTTGTAGTTCTTCAATGAGCTTCTTTAATTTAATAAAATGTTCTATTATTGATAAAAAAAGTAATACTATTAGTGTTAAAAATAACATGTACCTTCGTAAAATAAGAACTACTAAAGTGAAAGTGGTGCTAAATAAGATGATGAAGGGAAAGGCGTTAGGACCTGTGGAAGTGTGGAAAGGTATAGATGTAGGCATATTATGACTAACTAATTTGTTTAATAAAATAATGAAAGAAAAGAAGATGCCTGAAGAATGGAGAAAGATAGTATAGTGCCTATATTTATAAACAATGGCGATATGCAAAGTTGTAATAATTATCTGGGAATCATACTCATAAACTACACTATGTAACTTTGGGAGAGAATGATTGAGCAAAGATTTCAACATGAAACAAGTATGTCTAAGAACCAATTTGGGTTTATGCCAGGGATACCAAGCATGGAAACTATCTTTCTTTTTCAACGATTGGTAGAAATTTTAGAGAGAAAAAATAGATCAATGATGTGTATCTGACAAGAGGTCTCTGATATGTATCTTGTTTGTGTCCCTTATTGTATCAAGGGATAATAGGTGATAAGAAGTCTCTAATATGTATCTGATACATGTGTATGCTTCCTTTATAGTTTCAAGAAGAATATTAGGATTGAACTCCAGTTCTTCATGAACACCTTGTGTCTGATCTAGATGTGGAGTTCTAAGACTGATCCGAAAAAAAATCTATTTTAGTAGGTCAGTATGCAAATTTGAAACCTTTACTTTTTTTTATTGGTTGATTTGCAGTTCCTAGAAACTTCAGATTGTTGGAAGAACTTGAGAGAGGGGAAAAGGGAATTGGAGATGGAACTGTCAGCTACGGAATGGATGATGCCGATGACATATACATGCATTCATGGACTGGGACCATCATTGGTCCTCCCAACGTATGTTTTCTTTCATTCAATGCAGCACTGGGCCTTTGTAGCATGTACAACACAAGTTATGGAATTTTGCATGATCACTTAACCCACTTCAATTTTTTGATGCTTTTGCTATTACTAGAAAAATATACCATAGCTTGGTTAGGGCAAGAAAGAATTAGGTTAGCTGATCAAAAAAGGGAAAGAATTGAACTATCTTAAGCTATCCTAGATTTAGGTCTTTTTATTAATAAAAAATTCTGTCTTTCCTGCGAGAATGGGATACAAGAACTCATGTTCTTTGCATTTCTTGCTGCTTGGCAGACTGTTCATGAGGGGCGCATCTACCAGTTGAAACTTTTCTGTGATAAAGATTATCCAGATAATCCACCAACTGTAAGGTTTCAAACACGAATAAACATGATCTGTGTGAACCAAGAGACTGGAATGGTAGGTATTGGCTACCTAAAGATGTTTATTTTACACAGTTTCTGTTGTGAGCTTATATATGATAAATGCACCAGGTTGAACCTAGCCAGTTCCCAATGCTGGCTGATTGGCAAAGGGAGTACACTATGGAGGATATATTGACCCAATTGAAGAAAGAAATGATGTCTCCTCAGAACCGGAAGCTAGCTCAGCCTCCAGAAGGTGGGTGCATCTGCTTTGACTTTTCTAGCATATACCCCCCCCCCCCACCCCCAAATGAGACACTTCCAATTTTTCTCTCATTTTTAAGTCATCGTCAAGTGAAGTTTCTTTCTGAATTTATATTTGCCTCTTGTTACTCTTTAATCTTTAAGTGATGGACCATGCCAAGGGTGAAATTTTGCCTGATGGTCACATCTGATTGGACCCTACAGGGTCTCATCACTGGGGAAATTCTGAAGTGGGTGACATGATACAAACCAAAACCAAAAGTAAGCAATTAATCAGATGGTTGGAGTCATCTGATTAGTGTGAAGCTTGGGTTGTGAGCCATCTATTTGTTGGTAACAACCAATAAATAAATGATGATGATGAACCGATCCGAGGATGTTATTGAAGATTATCTTATTTAGTATTGGAATTAGTAAAACGTACTTCTATATATTCTGGTATTTTGTGAATGAAGATCTATTATTGGGATATGTTTGCAGGAAACGAAGAGCAAAGGGTGGATCAAAAGGGGATTGTACTGAAGTGTTGTATTCTCTGAATGGGTTGAGATGAATGAACATACTAGTGTATATAAATATATATGTATCCATGTAGATGACCCCGTTTTCTTCAATTTGTATGAAATGGCCAAAGTAGTCAAGAACCAGGGGTGAATTAGTGTTCCTCTTTTAAATGTCAAGTAGTATTCTAGTAGAGTTTCTGGTGTTGTTTCATGATTCAATAAGCTTCACTACTGGGACACAAATAAATCCACTGTCGGATTTGTGGAAAGAGAGAAGAAAAGCATAATCATGTGGTAACGATCCTTGGAGGGTCGCTATGTAATTAATTAGTTATCAAGAATTGAAAACCCTATAGGTTTCATGCATTATCTCCCCTTATAGTTTGAGATGGATTTTCTGAAAGCAAAAATTGTGCAAATAACTTGAGAGCATGACATCTAATTGCATATTGAAAATATTTTCCGTATTCATGTGTTGAATTCGTATGGAGATATTTCTGTTGCAAGGTTCAAAATACTGATACGCCGGTAGTGGTGTATTGGTAGCTTTTTTGTAGTTTTTTTTTCTGAATTTGGTTCAGAGGGGTCGGTTTAAGGTTTCTCCATTCTCTGAATCAGTCGAGACCCTGAAATACCCCCTGTAAGGGCGTATTGGGAAACCCCTGATACGATATGTATCGATCAATACAGCATGATATGTATCTATATTTTGAACCTTGTTTTGTTGTACATCACTTAGACATACAATTTCATTTCCAATTATTGTGCAAGGTTCAAGTATGATGCTCTCGACATGTGATTTCTTTGATTTCCATGCAACTGCAGTTTAGATGTCGAAAAACTGTGTTTTATTCGTTTGCTTTGAAAATGTAATACGAGATACCGTATATTCATTATAAATGACTGAAGGTCTCAAGCCTTGAAAATGTCAAAACTCTTCAGGTTATGCTTATGGAGGACATGAAAATTGATGGCATATGGTATATATGGTACGCACCCATATGTATCGAATTACTGAATTTATTCTTGGGTAAAATGGTTTTAGCCACTCATGCATTGCTTGAAGACCTATAGCCACCCATGTGTTGCTGTTACATTCTTAGAACTGTGTGAGTGCTATTTGTAGATGTGAACCACAACCTGATTGACAACGAATTCATTTTGCAAATCTAAAACAAAATGAATGGTTCCTTCGTAGATTATGAAAATTAGTAATACAGAGTGACATGCCACCATTTCTGCTTTCATCGCCATTACTTATGATGTTGAAATTTCAATATAAACATGAATGATCGGTCCTACGCATGCATTTCTAGTAGATCAGTAGGCCAAAACTGGTTGCATGATCCTACAGTCTTCTTCTGATCGGATTAAGAATATTCTGTTGACCAACCAAAAGCAAGCAACTAATTAGATTGGTGGAAGTCTTATTAGTGCAGACTTTTGGATTGTTGCAAACTACTTAATGCATTGTTATCAGGCATGAACTGGGCCAAACGGTTGATCAAGTCTGCCAAAACTAATTAAATGGCAATGTTTGGTATTGTAGCCGTTTATCGTTTTGTATATGGTTTATCTTGAAAAATGAGAAAAGTAATTGATAAACATGTTTTTTTTTTTGTTGTTGTTTGACAGTTAAGTGCCATTAGGTGCCACTAAGTTGGAACAGTAAATAAGTGTTAAGAGAAACATTAAAATAAAACCTCTCCCATTGATTGGTTCTCACACAAACTAAGACAAATTTTTATCTAATAAACGTTTTACCAAATAGACGGCAACATTACCAAACACCATGCAAAAACTAAAACAAAAAACAAAAACGCCATGCATATCTGCACTGGGAAGTTAATACAGTGAACAATTAAGGGGATGTTTAACAACTTGGTTTTGTTTTTAAAAACAAAAACAACAGCCATGCCAATAAAATTATATTAATTCTACTGAAGTAGAAGTTGCTTTTATTTTCAAAAATAAATCTGTCCAATACCCCCTTAAAATAATGGATATCTCATACCTGGACATAAGAATTTACACTTTACAAGGCAACAAAGACCAAAGGGTCTGCAAATTTCCAAATCAGTAATGAAACAAGTTTCTTGGAACAGATAGGGTTGTGGATAGAGATTAGAGATTACGTGGGGTCTCTTTCAGATGTTTATTTCTAAACAGATTCTACTATTTTTTTTTTCGTGGACCACAACCCATACTTTTTGAAGAATCAATTTGGTCATGAATCGCTATCTTACCCCAATAGGCTTTGTGCATCGTTTGTACGGCTTTAATTTATTATCTGTAAGTGCAAGTCTTTGTTACAAACGGCATCTACCAGTCTTATATAATTAGGTCAAGTAGTTTTATATGATTGGTGACAGTATAGCCCAACATGTGCTATCAATGGGCCAAATCTCAACTTAATAACTAGGAGTGTAAATGGATATAATTCGAATAGGATCAGGCAATATTTAAATTCGAATCCAATTAAAAAATCCGATATCCGAATTCGATTCGATATCTGATGAATATTGAAAATTAATATTCGAATTCAATTAAATATTTAAATATTCAATTCGATTCGAATTTGATTAATTAATTATTTTAGATAATTAATAAATATATAAAATAAATATTTTATTGATATAAAGTATATAAATATATAAATTAATTATATAACTTAATTATATATAAGAATTAAATAATCGGTTGAATTTGGATATTTATCGAAACGAATCAAGTCATATCCGAATTCAAATCCGATTAACTATTTGGTAAGAATAGGATATCCGAATTTGACTGATTAGATATTCAAATTATCCTAATTTGATTCGATTATGTCGAATATCAAATTCGAAATCGAATTTTCGAATACCATTGACACCCATATTAATAACTCTTGGCCAATGTGCCCAAAATCAATCAGTTTTAAGGAAGATTATTATATTCTTGAATTTTCTTTTAGGTCAACAATTAAGGAGTATAAGTATAAATATATACAGTACAAATATATACAAAATAATATAAAATAATATAAATACTCTACAAATTTTCTTTTCATTTTTTCATGTTTCGCCCACACATGCATTCTCGTTTAAGAGTCCAGAGTTGTCAGCAGTGGGTCGCAACTTGGGTTGGAATGAGAGTTGAGACCCTGAGTGCGGGATGAGTATTCATCATTTCACCCCACCCATTGATGATTCAGAACCCACGGTTGTAAACAGGTCGGATTTAGGTTAAACTGAACCGGTCAATTATCGGAATAATTGGGTCTGACTCAATAGATCCGATTATGAGCATTTTGGCACCAGATCAGGATGATAGATTATGAACCAAAACTGACCCATCGGTACCAGATCCTAGAACCACAACCGGCCCAAGCGGTCTGGATTCATTGGGTTGGATCCCAACCCATTGACAGCCCTACTAGTGACCCATATTGATTGCTTGTTAATGGTCACAACCAACCCTCATGCTCACGGACTCTCACCTGTATTGACTTGTCTAAAATTATGTAATTCACCTCTAAAAAGTTTGGGTTTTAGGTAAAAAATTGGAAATCACAGAAAATACATAAAATTATTTTTTTCAAAATATATTCAGAAAATTATAATCGTATAAAATATGGTAAATGGTAATTTTTTCAAAAAGTTATATATTTCTACTATAAAATAAAAATTACAGAAAAATATTTGACATAATAAAAATTAAAAAGATTATATATTTCAACTAAAAACCGAATATCCTATTTAATAAAATTAAAGATTTCCAGAAAAACAAGCCATTCTAAATTTAGTATGGAAAAATTTTTATTAACAAATCAAATGAACCAAGAAGGTGACCAGAAATTTTTGGGGACTCACTAGACATGAGGCTCCGAGGCATTAGCTACTTGTATAGAATGGATTTGAGTTTCCAACAATCCTCACTCCCTTCGGTCCTTCGTTGTCTACTTCAGCCAGTTCTTGAAATCTGCCATTATTACCACTAATATATTTGAATTGGCCGACTATAGATTAGAGAGAGAGAGAAGCGCAGAGGTGGAGGTAAAGAAGTGAAGCAGAGAGCTGAAAAAGATGAAAAGCTATGAATTCTAGTTTCAAATCCTAACGCTGAGTCATGATAAGTGACCAGTGATGACCCAATTAGGGTGTCAACTGAAAATTTTATTTTGAAATCGAGATTTGATAATTTGAATATTTAATCGAAATTTAGATATGGCCTAATTTGATTCAATAAATATTCAAATTCGACCAATTATTTAATTCTTATATATAATATATAAAATATTTAAATGTTCTATATAATTTATATATAATAATTAAATTATATAAATATTTTATATATTTATATATTTTATATAAATAAAACATTTATTATATATATTTATTAATTATTTAAAATAATTAATTAGTCGAATTCGAATCAAAACAAATATTTAAATATTTAATCAAATTCGAATTTGAATATTAATTTTTATTATTTGTCAGATATTGAATCAAATTCGAATTCGGATATTGCTTGATCAATTCAAATTGGATCCGTTTACACCCCTTAGGCCAAATGGGTACCCTTAAACCAACCCACCCTCTCCCTTTTCCCCTAACCATAATGTATGGCTCAACCCATATTGACCCTCTATTCAAATGTGTGGATATGGGTGGGTGTCAAATGGGTTTGGGTTGAAATTACTAGCCTTAAATCAAACCGATTGTGTTAGTTTTGCTTTTATGGTTTGTCCTAATTAATAATTGAGTCAGGACCAATTTCTGTCCTTTCAAATTGATTACATAGTATATTAATCATCATCATCTAAGCCTTATCCCAACAATATGGGGTCAGCTACACTAATATTGTTTGTCCAATTTATTCTATTTAATGCCATATCTATTGTTAAACTATTGATACTTAAATAATTTTTATCACTAATGTTTAAAGAGCGTGACTAGAAAAATTGTGAACTAGTCCATTGGCTGGTTTGGTCATTCGTAAAATCGGGGGTTTAAAAAACTAGCAGATACATATGATCAGAGAATCGATGAACCAATCTTGGTTTCTAAAAATTGACTTTCTTTTCATTTTTTTGAACTTATATACAAACTTCGAGAGCCATAACTTTTCACTCGGTTTTCTAATTTGAGTGGTCTTTTTATTTTTTTATTTTTTCAATTATGGGTAACTTTTTAAGATCTATGGGTTCCAAAAAAATGCCTTTTCGGTAACTTTTCGGACCTGATTAGCCAAATGGACTAAAAAACTGAATTTGTCCACTTTTGATAATACTCTAAAAACTTTGGGTGAAAAAAATTGGCCAAAACCAACCAACCAAATAAAAATATATATGTTATATGAAAAATATAATTATATATTTTGACATGGCTAGTTAAACTAGTGAATCATGACCCAAAGAGAAAATGGTTCTACCATTGGTCTAGCTCTAATTGCTTATTACTTTTACCGGTGTCCTTTTCCAACCCATTCAACTTATAACTCACCACTTTTTAGTGGAATTGTTGTTGATCTCTATGCACATGATCAAACCATATTAATCTATTTTTTTCTCATTTCAACATAATGACTATTTTTTATTTTATCATTTCTAACTTTATTCCTACCAGTCGTGCTCGGTTTGATACGTCACCGTATTGGCGTGTCTCGCATAGTATCGGTCAATACGCGTCGATACCAAAGTGTATCGACCATCGTTTCGATTAATGGCACGGTGTCTCACAATAACAGAAACAGGAGTGGCATGACTCGAACCCGCGTCGGTCAATGCACGCCTAATGCCCAAGCACACTTTAACTACAAAGTCATTTGTTATTTCATGTTGGTAAATGTAATAAAATAACTTTTATTAAACTTAATGTTTACATGCAAACAAAAATCAACATACATTTATTTTCCAAAGCTTCAACTATAAATTAAAAAGAACAATATTCAAAGTCAGTATTTTATAAATAAATTAAATAAATAATTTATAAAACATTTATAATAGAATAATTATCTTAATACTTAAATTTTATAAATTTGCATATGGTGTATATCTTAATTTTTTATAAATTATTAATTATTAATTTGCATTAAATAACAATGTATTTATTATTTACAAAAATAAAACTATTGTTTACAAAGTATTTGAAAATATAATATAAATTGAATCTATCAAATCCATTAATCTACATTTTATATAAAAAATAATTTTTAACTTCAAAATTTTATAAAAATAAAATATTAATAATAGAATAATTACTTTAGTAATTAAAATTTATGAATTTTCATATGATATGCATTTTCAAAATTTTAATAGATTTGATATGTTTTAAGTTAAGATTATATATTTTTATAAATTATTAATTGATATTTTAATTTAAATTTGATAATAATATATTTATTGTTTACAAAAATATAAATATTATTTATCAAACATTTAAGAATTAATTTTTTAGTTGAATTTTTTGTTAATGTTGAAAAATAAAAATAGAAAAAATGATATAATAATTCAAATATAATATTTGCATGTGCTTTATGCCTTACACTTTAATAGATAATAAAATAATATTGTCTTTTTGTATATATTAATTTGTAAAAATCTATATAATATTTTTCCTTGGACTCTTGATTGATGTATTATTTATAAAATTGTAATATATACATGTCCTACTATATTAATTAAAATATATTTATTCATATGTATATATATTTAAATATACAATTCCTATCTATTTATATATTATTTATAGTTGTCTTGACATTACACTTAATGCTATTAATATATTTATGGAATTTGTGTGCATTTTCTTAGCGTTTCCATATTTTCTCTTTCGAATCCATGTGTTTTCCAAATATATCCATATCCAAATTATCCGATACGATACCCAATACCGATACTTTAATCCTTGTTACTGCATACTTAATTGTTGAATGGAACTTGCTTACGGGCTTTATTTCCATGAAAAAAAAAAGCATTTGACCACCCCTACTAAAAAATCCTGGCTCCGCCCTTGGCCACACTCATTTTCTTGATATGTTATTTCAAGTTGATGATATATATTATATAATTTATTATATTTATTTCATTTTATTAAGTTATATTATCAAAAATTTTCATGTTGTTATTATCATAAATAATTATACCTTGTCAAGTATAATCGGGTTTAATCATGCCAGACCCGATTATCCCAATGGTTATGGGTCTATTTTATAGGTTATATAATCGAGTAATAATCAGTACGTATTCCGATCCAAAAAGCTTGTGTGCTACGGGGAGTGTTGGAGAAGAAGGGGTCACTGTAACTTTGGAGGAGAAGCTCTGAGGCACGTCTGAAGACACTGTCTTTAGAACGTTATTTGCCCCCACTCAGTTTTATTGAGTTTGCTGTTGGGTTACAGGCAAATTCGTTCCCAGGATACAACAGAGCCTTGGGCGAGAATCTGCAACCAGCAAAGTTGAAGAGTCTCCAAAGAAACCTTCTGTGAGACTGTAGCAAGCCGGACTGAGAGAGAGAGAGAGAGAGTGAATTTTGAAATTGTGTGATTTGGAATCTGATTCATACTCCTTAAATAATTTGTGAAGAGGTATGATGAAAAGGTAGGTACTGGTTTAGAGAATGCACCTTGAACAGTCACAATTTCAAACATTGTGACTGTTTAAAAAGTAGTTAACAGTTGGTGACTGTTTACTTTGAATTGTGCCTCTTGATCACACCCGATCGACTCGTGATCAACGTTCATCAACGCACCAAAACAAGAGTTGTCCATCGCGAGCCACGCGAGTGTGAGCAAAGTGCACCTCATTGCGCCGTACACACGCGCATGTGCATTGCACGGTATTGAATCCCCATACTCTTCTCTATTAATTCTAAGGAGTATAAATCAGCTCCTATTGAAATACTGAAAACAAACCTCATAATTTTCCAATGTGGGACAAGTTCAAAACTGGGTTTTTGTAAAAGAAAAAACTGATTTTCCAACCAAGTGTGCAGGTGCAATTTCTCATGTAATTGATCAATCAACCCATTGGATTTAATCTCTTATAAGATCAGAGAGGCTAACAACAAACCTTGGATTATTAATTCTCTCCACCAATGTGAACCGAGGACACACATGACAGATTGTTCGCTTCTCTCTCTCTCTCCATTCCCCCCTTTAAGGCTTTAAATGCCATCTCTTAGGCCTTAGCCCACTCCCGAATCCCCATCATCTCTCTCTCAACAATAAAGAAGAATTCATCATTTCATCTCAGATGGCTAACTCTTCTATTGACTCCAAAACTCTCTCCAGCAACGATCAGAGCGACTGTACGTTCTTTTGTAATCTTTTTTCTTGAATCTTCTTCTTCTGTTTTTTCCAACGTTAATCGTTTATTATTAACACTGGAAACCCTTGCAGCTCTTAATTGTGGAGAACTCATTAATGGCTATCTCAGCCCTCTCCAGAAACACGCTGCTTTCTTCGACAGAAATCAAGATGGCCTCGTTTATCCATGGGAGACCTTCCAAGGTTTTTTTCTCTTCTTTGTCTCCGATTTTAGTTCTTACGGTAATAAATAATATTCTCGTATTTGGTCTCATCCTTCGTTTCTGTTAATTCGTTTCAGGATTTCGTGCCATCGGCAGTGGCATCCCCTTGTCCACCATCGCTGCTATCTTCATCAATTGCTTTCTCAGTTCCCAAACTCGCCCGGTCTCTCTCTCTCTCTCTCATGTGTTTTCCTGTGTCTGTATTTTGCTTAATTGCGCATAGTGGATTATGGCGTAAGCAAATAGAGATGCAAAACTACATGGACCACGTAGATCCGTTTATTTCTCATCCAAGACCATTGATTTTTATTTTATTTTATTTTTAATAAATATCCATGACAAGATTTGTAAATCTACTCATCGAATTCGAATGGACAAGATTTGTAAATTCATTATTTCATTTGGTGTGATTTTCGGGTTACGGTGTGGCAGAAACTAGAAAGCCCGGATAGGGACTGGGTAAGTGGAAGAACTCAAGAAAGCCCCAACGTGCTTAATTGACAAATCTGATAAGGTCATCGGTTCGAACTTCAGAGTTTGTGGGCCAAGATAGTTCTGGTAGGGGTCGGGTAAGTGGGTAATCAGGTACTAATTGCAACCCTATCGATCCTTTGGTTCGAACAGTTTTTATAGCTTTGCATTGGGAGCATCGATGCTTTTATTTCATGGGGAGATAAAACTATGATGGCTGTTAGAATGGGTTTTGCACTGACTGAATCCGGTTTCCTTCAATATTACAACCCATCAACACACACCATGGAATAGTCCCACCCAGAAAATTAACCAGATCAAAGAGTAGATGAGTAAAGATTAAACATAAGGGCCCAAATAATTATATGCATGTCACTCTAAGGTACCGTTTGGTAACAGCCACATTGGGTAGATTACTACTGAATAAAGCCGTAAGTTGGGTAGATTACTACAAGCTTATTTATTGCTTTGTTTTTTAGTGAAGGTTATGGGTTACTAATGCCTAAGCTGGGTATATTATTAATATTATACCTTTGATAAGCTTATTGTTTTCTCTTTTAGGCTGTGTTTTGGTTTGAAGGAAAAGGCAGGGAAAGGAAGTGTAAAGACTTGTTATGGGATTCTTCATTTTAATCCAATTTTCTTTTTATTATAAGAAAGAATATTGGATATTAATAGTAATTAATATAAAGTGGGGGTTATCAAATTTATCCTAAATATGCATTTTTGGCCTTCAATGGTGCAGGGAAAGCTTCCATCTCTTCTGTTCCCTATTGAAATAAAGAACATAAAGAGAGCCAAGCATGGGAGTGATACTGGTGTTTACGATACCGAAGGAAGGTAAATTGGTCATATTCCTTGTTTTGTTTGAAGGCTGATACAGGCCTTGAGTTTGGGGATAGTGAAAATTGTGATTATTTGTTCAGAAAAATTTTTCTACTTCAGTATTGAGTATGTAATATTAAATGCAGGTCTTGAATAGAAAGTATTTTTGTATCAACATACAAATTTGGAATTCATTCTTTTCAATTAATGTATATATTTAAAGGAAAATCCATGGTGGCAGTATATATAACCTCTGGTTTTTTTATAAAAGTTCTCTTTTCCTTGATGTGGATTTCAACTCTTTTAGGTTTGTGCCAGAAAAGTTTGAAGAGATTTTTAGCAAGCATGCCCATGTCAATCCAAACGCTTTAACATCGAAGGAAGTGTCAGAAATGCTGAAGGCCAACCGGGTTTCTCAAGACTTCAGAGGATGGTTAGTTTTTGGTTTCAACAAAAAATTGTTTAATCTTTACAAGCTTCTATCATCTAACTAGTTGAAATTGGTAAAATTGTTTGTAGGATTGGAGCCTGGACAGAGTGGAAGGTATTGTACTACTTGTGTAAAGATAAAGATGGCTTCTTGCATAAAGATACCATTAGAGGTGTTTATGATGGAACCCTATTTGAACAAATGGAGGAGGAGCATAGATCATCTAGGAAAACAAAGTGAAGGCCATAAAAAGAGTTATAATAATTACCATGTCTTTTAATTTATCTTGAACTATCTTTGACTTTGCTTATTTTATATATATATATGTGTGTGTGCGTGTATGTATTAGAATAACAGATATACATAATGGAAGTGTTATAGTGTAACCCGTCATGTATAAAAAAGAGGCAAATTAGTAGAATTGCCCATTTATCATCATCCTCCATGCCTTTTTCTAATTATATGGGGTCAACTATATGAATATTGTTTTGTCATTCCATTATACTTAATGTCATATCCATTGTCATTGTAAAGCAAGAACAGGCCAGGTTTGTCCTTATGAGGATACTGTGCAAGGTTCAAATGGCACGGTGAAGCCTATTCATTGTTGTAAAGATTTTTTTCGTGTAAATTGTAAAGGTTTTCTTAGCACCCATGAAATCTAACTGAATAGTGGATTGAAAAATCTCAATTGGGAACAAGACAGGCTTGAGAAGGGCCAAATTTGAATAAATCTTGGAGTCTCCGACTCTTTTTTATCTCTCACTTTTGCATGAGCAATCGATTGTTAATTTATTAAAACAATCGTAAGTGATCTTTGCATTGAAGTTACTTGATTAAATATTCATGAAATGGGCCGGGTTGCAATCTTAGTAACAGTTTTTATTTTGACCCATTTATTAAAACAATCTAGTTCCTTCAACTTGCAACAGATAAATTCTTATGAATGATGTCAAATTGTCAATGGTATTCCATACATGTGAATAAACCTCTTCTACTTTTTCTCATTTTATCACCTATTGGAGTAATTATGAAGTTATTCCGAATGACTTCATTTTTTTTTATCTTATTTTTTTAGCTTTTTCACCCATCCAACTCAACAACTTAACATAGCGTTACAACTATTTTTTAGAATTGTCCTTTTATTCCAAATTGTATTCACCTATCACATGAGATTTTGCATGCACGCTTCCATTTCTCCCATCTTACTATAATTCTATGAGCAATATCCCCATCAATTTCTCCTTGTTATGTATCAAGGGAAATTAGTGAATTGCTAATCTTAGACTCCACTGAGTTCCATAACCACATTTAGATCAAGGTCTCTTCTTGAATCTAATCTGAATATGCAGAACTTCCAGTTCCAACTTCTGGCGGTTTCTTTTCAGTAAGATACTTCAGTTTCCTTTCATCTCTAAGCAACACTTCAACGGATTTGGCCCACACATCATAATGGTTTTCATTTGGCTTATGAAAGTTATTTGAATAGTCATAAAGTGTTGATAGAATAATGGCTTGATGATTGGAATCCGTAATTCCACCCAACTATAATCGCCTGTAGGTTTATTCTCCATATTTGAAATCAACTTTTCTCTTCACAAGGCAGCGTCACCAGGACTTCTCCTTATCAGTTTCGGCCTTCTCAATACAATTACTTGACACTAGAATAACCCATCTTGGGTAATACCCACTAGAGGGTCTTATTTTACCAATCACTCACTATATAAAAGCTTAAGCTGCATTTGGAAATAATGCAAATATGTAGAGTGTAAAACGGGTCATATAAATTGTAAAGTTTGGTTAATTTTGCACTGACAAATTTATCTTCTTACCAAATAGACTTTTAGCTGTAATAGATAAAAACATGAATTTCAATAAAACATATGCATTTTTTTTTTATCAAAATCCTACTCGAATGCAAATTTACTTTTTCTTATTGACGCATTTTTACAACTTGTTATCAATATAAATATACATTGGTCTATCATTTACCTTGAACCAAGATTTACACTCCATTTGAATCATTTTCGAATGCAGCCTTATGTGATGGATGAAACCATCACATATCACTTTTAAAATATACACCAACCTGGTTACATCCTCAACGGTGGTCGATAGAAGAAATAGAAAATCAAAGGGAAATAACAGGTCGGTCAAGGAAAGAGATGAAGAATCTCAGTCTCCCCGCTCCAAAAATTAACCATTAAAACAACGCTATAATAAGAAAATAATATTAGAGTGAGGGAAAAGGAGAGAGAGAGAAGAATAGAGAACAAGAAAAACTCAGTCTCCCATATAAAAGTTGACTCATTAAATACATAGCATTATTAAAGAAAGAAAAATGTCTAAACTATCTTACCACCCAAGCATATTGAATTTACATTATATATCTCTCAACAAACAGTTTTGAAATCAGAATAACCCATTCCAATTCTAATTTCAGATCCCTATTCCCCCGAACCAAACTGGGACTAAATATTTTGACATTACTATATCAATTTGGTCATGAATCGCTATCTTACCCCAAAAGGCTTTGCACACTTCTTCTCCTGGCTTTAATTTGTTATCCGTAACTACAAGTCCTTGTTACAAACGCATCTACTAGTCTTGTACAATTAGGTGAAGTAGTTTGCAGAATGAAAAGAAAAAAAAAAAAACTTTCAACATTGCAGGATGGCCCAACATGTGCCATCAATTCAAGGGTCAAATCTCATCACAATAACACTTGTCCAATGTGCCCAAAATAAACAAATTTTAAAGGAAATTATATTTTTTGTATTTTCCTTTGGTGAACAAATTATAAGGTGGGATATAGCCATCTAGATTGACATGGATGAGTTTATGTAAGCTCCCTAAATCTAGGAGGCAAGTGTCCTTAAAGCTTAGCAAATTAAATTATGATCTTTGACATTGCTTAAGAATTATGATGTTTTTTTTTCTTTATTTTTTTATTATTACTAGTAAATGTGAACATGTATTATACGTTAAAATTTTAAATTATAATGAAAATTATTATCATCACCAATATTATTATTATTATTATTATTATTATTATTATTATTATTATTATTATTATTATTATTATTATTATTATTATTATTATTGTATTCCATTTCCACCATAAATAAAAATAATTTTTATTTTAACAATTTTTTATTTAATATGATAAATATATAACATTAGAAATGTCCCCAAATATTTTCAACAAAATTGTATAATTTTCATTTTTTGTGTTCTATCTTTCTAAAATATTTATTATTAAATTATGATATCATCAAAAGTGTATTTGAAAAGTTTGATTATTGGCCCACCATCTAGAAAGGAATATAGCATTGCTTTTAGATCAATTTTAAATTATATATTTCATCTACATTATATAAATATTTTTTTAGCATACTTAATTTTTATTTGATATAATTAATATATAATATTAGATATGTGTCCAAATTTTTTATAATGTTTATATTTTTTATTCTCTGTACCTTTTATTTTTTAAAATTGTATTATTTTACTATAGCATCATTGGTTAATCCATTTGACCCAAACCACAAACCCAACACCCAAACCATTTATTGTTGCATTTCCGTCATTGATAAAATTATGTATAATACTTATTTTTGTTCAATATAATGAATGTATAATATTTTAAATGGACCCAATGTTTTATTTTTTATAAATATATAATATCAAATATGTGCCCAAATTGTTCTTTATTTTTGTGATTTTTATATTTGTATTTTAAAAAATTTATTATATGACTATGACACCATTTAATTTAATTTCAAGGTTTATTTTAGATTTGTAATTCCATTTTCATCATTAATAACAATATTTCATACATTTCATACTTAATTTTATTTAGTATAATGAATATGTAATATTAGAGATATGCTCAATTCTTTTTTCTTTATATTTTTATATATTATTTTTTTTATTTAATTATGACATTATTGGTTAACCCATTTGACTCAAATGGTTAAATTGCTTACCCACCACCGAGAGGGAAGAAAATGGTTTTGTTCTCAAATTATTTTTCAAAATATTTATTTTTATACTATTAAAATAAATATTGTGGATTTAATTAATAGATTTTAATGATGAGAAAAATATATCTTAAATATAGGATTCAATAAGAGAATATACCTTAGATATGAGACTTAATGAGAGAGTATAAGAAAATAATTTTATTTCCAATTGGTTTTAAATTTTATATTCCATATCCATCATTAATAAAAATATTTCTTATTTATCGTACTTATTCTTGTCTAATATGGTAAATATATGATATTAAAGATTGTTCCCAAATTTTTATTTAATTTCTATATTTTTTGTGTTTTATCAATTTTTTATTTTTTATTATTTAATTGTGACAACATGGGTTGGCCCATTTGACACAAAATTGTTTAATTTCTTACCACCATCTAGATAAAAATACTGCTTTTCCAAGTCAATTTCAAAAGTACAAGTTTTTATGTTATTAGAATTATTTACGTATGATTTAATTAGTGGAATTTAGTAATTAAAAGAAACAAAAATGCCTTAAGTGTATGGTTAAATAAGGGTGAATGAGAGTTAATACCTTAAATGAGATTTAATAAGAGGAAATTGAATTCAACAAATAATAGTATTCAAATTACATTTTCTGAACCCTAGCTTCGTGCGTGCCTTCGTCTTCATCACTGATTCGCCAATCGCTGTCATTGTTGCCCACCGTTGTTGTCATAACCCTAGCTTCATGCCTTCTCGAGTGACAGAGAAAAGATGCTCAAAGAAAAGTTTCGGATCTTTAATTTCCTTCAACCTTCGTTTATCGTCGTCGTCGCCCGTCGGACTCTCTATCTCGTCATTGACCTCAACTCTCGCAACGGTCCTCTCTCTCTCTCTCTCTCTATCTCATACTCTCAGTCAGTGCCGGAGAAAGAAGCACTGTTGTCAGTGGTTTCTCTGATTTCTGAAAAAACAAAATATCAGAAAAAAGAAAAAAATAAGAAAATGTGTGAAAGAGTTGGAGTTGGAGAGTACCTGCAATTGAAATGGTCAGATGATCACCGGTGGTCGTTGTAGATGGTCGGTCATTGTAGTTGAACCCGAGCTCGGGTGAGGGGAGAAGAATGGGGGTCAAGGGAGGCCAGTACAAACAGGCGGGAATGTAAAAATGTTAAGATAGATGAGGGTTTTGACTCGATTTTGGGGCTAACGGGACAAGCTAACGGACGTCCCGTTAGCCCCGCATGCAAAAATGCCAATCGCGTGCGAAAGGATAGATGGCAGATGCTCGACGTGTGGGGCGAGAGGCGGTGAGGCATAGATTTGAACTCAGTTAAGAGACATCACATTAGCCCCGCATGCAGAAATGTCAATCGTGTGCAAAAGGATAAATTGTCACAAGGGCCCATTTTGCCGCGCCTTCAAGTGCCATCACCATGCCCACAACATGTCATCCGAGTGTCCAAGTATGTGTCTTGGGTGGGACATTGCATGTATTTTGTATGGGGGAATTGCTAATGGCATTATTGTAATCATGTAGTATGACTTTTCATCTTTTTGATGTTTCCTCTTGTCACTCCCCCAAAAGCTTAACGTACTCTTTGAGGGGGGTAAGTA